CACACACACACACACACACACACACACACACACACACACACACACACACACACACACACACACAGCTATACGTATGTATCCTTGTAGGGTTTTTTCCATAAATTTTTTACAGAACTGGAATCAGACTGTATATATATAATTTTGGATCCAGCTTTGTTTTTCACTTAGCATTATATTCACAAACATTATTCATGTCATTCAAAACTTTTGGTAAACATCAATTTTAATGCAAGTCTGTCTTTTAACAGATGAAAAAACTGAGGTTGGGTGTGGGGAATAAGCCTTCTTGTGCAAGATCACACACCATTTAGCACAAACCCAGTTTTCTGCCTCTAGCTTGGCGCTCTTTCCACACAGCCCAACTGAAAGGTAAGAAGTAATACAGAGACTAAGAGAGAAGGTGGAACAAGTCAGCTCTGCCCAAGAGCCCTCATTTAGAAGGGTATGTAATGTGGCACCTGGGCAAAACCTCTGTGCTCTGGAAGAGGGTAGTCCCAGAGGGATGTGCTTGGATGGATGTGGGTTAGGGTTATTTCATGTAAGGCAGCATGAGCAGGTAGGACACCAGTGGGACTGTGTGTCACTCAGTCCCTCTGGGCCCCAGCATTTCCACTGCTGGACTGAACAGTAGACCTCAATGAGGACTAGAACAATGGCTCAAGATCCAGTCAAAGCTCTGGTAACCAAAGGATCTTTGGAAAAGGCTGTAATAATGTTTTTTTAATTGAAGTATAGTGGATTTATAATATTGTATTAGGGACTTCCCTGGTGGTGCAGTGGTTAAGACTCTGCGCTCCCAATTCAGGGGGCCCAGGTTCGATCCCTGGTCAGGGATCTAGATCCCACATGCATGCTGCCACTAAGAGTTCGCATGCCACAACTAAGACCCGTGCAACCAAATAAATAATATATATATAAAATATTGTGTCAGTTTCAGGTATACAGCAAAGTCATTCAGGTATATATTTTTTCAGATTATTTTCCATCATAGGTTATTACAAAATACTGGATATAGTTTCCTGTGCTATACAGTAAATCATTGTTGCTTATCTATTTTATATATGGTAGTATGTATGTGTTAATCCCATACTCCTAATTTACTCCTGCCCCCACTCCCTTTCCCCTTTAGTAACCATCAGTTTGTTTTCTATGTCTGTGAGTCTGGTTCTGTTTTATAAATAAATTCATTTGTATTATATTTTAGATTCCACAAATGAGTGATATCATGTAATATTTGTCTTTCTCTGTTGACTTACCTCACTTAGTATGATACTCTCTAGGTCCACCCACGTTGCTGCAAATAGTATTATTTCATTCTTTTTAATGGCTGAATAATAGTCCCTTGTATATATATACACCACATCTTCTTTATCCATTCATCTGTCGATGGACACATAGGTTGCTTCCACATCTTGGCTATTGTAAATAGTGTTGCTGTGAACATTGAGGTGCATGTATCTTTTCAAATTAGAGTTTTCTTCTCTGCCCAGAAGTGGGATTGCTGTATCATATGGTAGCTCTAGTTTTAGTTTTTTAAGGAACCTCCATACTGTTTTCCATAGTGGCTGCACCAATTTACATTCCCACCAGCAGTGTAGGAGGGTTCCCTTTTCTCCCCACACTCTCTAGCATTTATTATTTGTAGACTTTTTAATGATGACTAT